TGGCGGCGGTAGTCACTTAACACCAGGTGAGCCACATGCTCGTTTGCCCCTTCTTCTATAAAAAAAATATATAAAGGCGCTGCAATACGCGATCGGGGAAGTATTGAATTTGGCGAGGCAAGCGAAGCTTCGGAGCGAAATAAAGTGAATCAGTGTGATTAATTATTAGTGTTTTAAGTTCAAATTTGTGTACAGAAAATTAAAGTGTTAATTTAGGTAATTTTATCGGCAATTTTTATTGTTACGAACCTCAAGCTCGTAACAATATTTTGGTTTAAGCGTATGCAAAGCGTTTAGCATATGTTTACGCGTTGTGAGTCGACGATGCATCATTTAGAAATGATTTGAATTGTTTGATTCTTGGTGTATTTAAACTCTTTTGTGGGGACGTAGACTGTACAGAAACCATTAAATGGCAAGTCATTTCTCTTGATACGACAAAAATCATCGGTATTCTGTTTTAAATCTACCATTAAAAATCCATGTTCCTCTAGAGTTGCATCCCTGTCATCAGATGCCTCTTCAATGAATTTTGGGTTATCTGGTGACACTTGTTGTGCTAAATATCTTATTTGAGTTTTATCTCGAGGGTTTTTAAAATATACTATATAACTTGAGTTTAAAGATATATCTCTTTGCCCTTTACGCTGATGAAATAAATTTTGTGTTAAATAAAATACACTGAGATTCCTGTGATGACTGCCTTTTGTAAATATATCCACAATTCTTCCATCCCAATCTCTCATTAGATCATCAATAATAACGAGATGTGGGTTTTCACCATCAAACATATTAAGATTTGAAATTCCTTGATGATAGTTAACATTTGGTAAATTATATAAAGGTTGCATTTCATCAAAGCACCATGTGATCTGATTAAAATCATCTGTAAAATCATTTCTGTAACTGATTTTATGAAATTTGTTACAAAATTTGACTTCCCACATCCACTTGGTCCTGCCACAATAGCAGTAAACGGATGTATAAAGTGAAACATTACACACCTCTAAAGTTCTAAGGGGTGAAATAAAAAATGAAAGTGTTGGTTTAGGTAAACAATTAATATATATTGTGTATTTCTGTACTATAACTAATGTTTTTGGGAAATCAAACAAAATTTATGATTAATTTAAAATTTTATTTTCAAGCAATAACCACTTGTAAAAAACCCACACTTCGTGACAAGAACAATGTAAAATTTTGTGATAATTTTTTTGCAAATATATGATTATTACACACATAACGTTTGTTTAAATTTATGACATTTACCAAATCATTGTATTTTGGACATTTGTATTCTTCAATATTAAAAATTCTATCATTCGTCGTCAACATTTTTAAAAATTGTTTTTCTGTTGAACCACCTTTGTATGAGCATGCGATCACTTCGTCTTTGCACAAATTTCTAATATACCAAATTAATATGGGTATGATGTTCTCTTGTTTGTAGGCACATTTTAATTCTCCGGTCACATCAAAATATGGAATGCCGTGCACGTGTGTTTCACAATATCGAACAGTTTTTTTGTCTTTTGACGACAAATAATTGAAAGGATAACTTGGCCGAAACAACATAAACGCATCATTTTAATTAGATAGCTTTACGTCTAGAATAGCCATTTCTCTACATTGAAAATATTTTATGAGGATATGTAATGTAATATTCGTCCATGTCGATGATGTATCTAATATTTTTTAGATTTTGTGTCATTTTGAACCAAAATGTTAAAAGTATTTACACGTGACTAAAAATATGTTTGTTCCAACAAACTTCACATAACAATGCTTCATTACTTCCCATCATCCCATTTTTTCCTTTTGCTCTTGTCTTCCTGTAATTTAAGTAAACAGAATCACATTCACTAATGATCAACTAATGACTGTCATTGTTAAAAAAGTATTTTTTAACTTTTTCACTTTCTGCTATTGTCTTTGTATTTATGGCTAGGAAATGTCCGCGGCGCTGCCTCAATGCGTGTTGGCGAACTTCACATGCCTTCGAAATTTTCTCAGACAATCAGGTTTCCTCACGATGTTTTCCTTCACCGCCGAGCACGTGGTAAATCATCACTTAAAATTGCAATTAACAATTTAATTGGTGCCGGCGGGGATCGAACCCGGGTCGCGTACTATGAAATTTACAGCTTGCGCTAACCATCTGAGCTACCACGGCTTAATCATATACAAACACAATATTTAAATATAATTTGTTAACACTAAATCATACACACGTAAGAAAATAACAGAAAGAAAAGTAAGTTTGTCAATAGAATAAACGCTTACATCCATGGCCTTTGATGCGTTGAAGTAACACAAATGTAGTATTGATAGATCCACTGCAGTCAAACGACCATACACTAACTCCATGACTGCAGTTGCTTGGTCTTATATAGTACCAGTAAGTAATAATTCTAATCTAAAGAATTTCTGCAGTGGAATTGATAGTAACTTTATGCGTCACCAAGCTTATCTCACATTCTGTTGCTTATCTCAGCATTACTTCGTGTCGTCTTGTTCAGTCTATTGATGACTCAAATACGTTTTGTATAACACAAAATAATGCAATTTAATATTTAGAAATCACTACAATTGATCATTCCTATGTTAGTTATTGAGTAGATTGTACTGTAATAATCTACTAATAGCAGTAATATCATGGATACACTAGATGTACAACAACATCTAAAAAAGATTCACCCCAATCTAGAAAATAATTTTTATGCTGCTAATAGACTGCCCATGTACACCCACGTGCCAACGTATATGATATGCAATTTGGATACAGATGATAAACCAGGTTCACATTGGGTAGCTTTATATATCGATACAAATGACGTCAGTCAATATTTTGATTCATTCGGACGACCACCTGTACGATATCATCTAGAGTTTTTAAAAAGGAATTGTAAAAGATGGAACTGGAATGTTGATAGGATTCAGAATAAGTGAACTTCAGTTTGTGGCGAATATTGCTTAATGTATTTGCTATATAAGTTTCAGGGATATTCAATGCATAGTTTTACGAGTATATTTACAGGGAACACATTGTACAACGATATTTTAGTGGATGAGATGTTTCGCTCTTATTTTATAGATAATAAGTAATAAGATTTTGTATTTCGTAAATAAAAATTGTAACAAAATTAGGTAATGTAGCGTTGCAGTTAGGAACAAAGGAGTATAATACAATAGCACTGATAATCCGACGCACACGCCGAGGAAGAGTAGATAATGACGGTATTCAAGGAACAATAGATAAATAGATAGAACAATGGTGTGCTAATAACGGTGGAGGCCCTCACCGGATATCAATTAGATAAGAGTTAATTGATCTGCACATCTCCGGAACCGTGCATCCTACGCAATTTTTTTTAGGATCGTGAGTCGACGAACGTTGTACCACTTTTGACTCAGTGAGCCAGAAGTGGTACTAACTAACTACTAATATGTTTGCGAATCGTCACACGCAGATTAACAGTCGCAGTACCTGGCGAAGAATCAGATACATTTGACACTACTCAGGACCATCGCAGGTCAGATTATTTTTAAGTATGCATAATACATGTTTACACCAACATCTATCGAAAGTGATGGGATATTTCTGGCACTTGCAATACCCGTCATCCTCTGGATAAAATTTAGTGATGGTTTTATTTACCTCGCCAGCACTCACAACATTACCAATTAAAGAATATCACATAAAAATCCATAAAGACCAGTTGTAGCGGCAACATCACTGCCACCGTGTAAGTTCAATTTGCCAATTAATTTACCGAATGTCAATGTTTTTAAGTGTACTAGTAGGTAATTTGCTTGTATGGCTCTTAACGTAAACCTAAATACCCAAATTATAATCGAAAACCCACCTACCCTTCCGTGGGTATAGTAAGAGGTGACAGAGAGACACTGAAACTGGAAACGAATTTTCCTGAAAACTACTCAAAATAATGATAAAAACTACCAAATACTGCAATTGGCATATAATCTAAGCTTGGAGGTAATCCATTGAGAATGCCTATGTGGAGTAGTAGACTGATTACCTATTGACTAGTTGATTGCGGATGAGACTCTTTAACTAGTAGGATAGGCCACAACGTAAAAAGAAGAAAGTTGTGTTAGATTTCTGTTATTGCGAAGTAGTTTTATATCTATCGATAATATTTGTATGTATGTGTTGCAGGCAAAAAGACGTCGCACCATGGGCTACATCGTTTAATACCGATTCACACTTCGACAAGTACCGTAGCGAATTTAGTTACAGGGCAGTTGACAGTAAACGGTTAAGTGGGCAGTAGCGTTCAAACAATGTCTTCGTGGCGAGTTTAGTAAAGGACATTAGTTCATAGAGTTCGTTGGAGTATGACGTTTCAAGACTACAGAATTTTTCTGGTTTTCGTTTAAGATGGTTCTAGGATTACGTCAAGAATTAAATGATCCAGTCAGAGAAGTATTAATGGTTGTCGTAAATTTTTAAGAATTTTCATGAGTGCAGCATCTCGAGCAGGTTTAATTTTACAATTTGAACTTCTACTATTATATAAACATTCGTGTTCTAAATACTCCTGTACAAATTTATACGTGATATCTTCCGTCCATTATATTATTAAAACCCAATATACAACGTATAAATATTCAATAAACGGTATCGTGCAAACTTTGTGGCCAGTTTAATTATAAAAGTACAATTGTACGTTTTGGCGCGCAAACGTTGCGTTCTGTCAACTAATGCACTGAACTTTCAGTATATACAAAGTACTCTGTGCACTGAACTAAACTCGCTCGTTTACACGAACGGCGAGTTTACTTGCGGGTGGCGGGAGACGCGGGGGAGGGCAGCACTTCGTACTTAACTCGCCGAAAAATAGCTCGGCCGGCTATCCCGTTCAACTTAATCGTTAACTTGCTACTTAACTCGCTTATTGCCGCCAGGTTCGCAAGTTAACTCGCTACTGTACTTGTCGAACTGTAAATCGGTCTTTGGACAGAGCCAGAAGCTAGCAATGGAGGCGGCCACTTCTGCTCAAGGTAAGTAAATTCATACGTAAATACTCTAGTATTCACATCCCTTTCCGGCTGTGTCAATCCGAAACGATTTCTTTTGCTTGGCGGTTCACCACTGTACGTTTCACAAGGAGTTTTCTTCCGCGTACGACCTCTCTATGTAATAGTTTACCACCGGCGATTTTTCCGGGCCGATACGACCTGGGGACCTTCAAGAAAAGAGCTTACTCCTTTCTAAAGGGCCGGCAACGCACCTGCAAATCCCCTGGTGTTGCGGTAGTTTATGAGCGGCGATAGTCACTTAAGACGACACATCGAAAAAGGCTATCGCCGTACTGATCCGAGTGAATACATAATTTCTATAAAAACATGAAAAAACGCCGTCATAAGGTCTAAAATTGCGTAGCGCCCGCGACGATTAAAAGCGCTTAGAAATTGTCAGAATCTTATAATTTTTTTTTTTAAATTATTGATTGAAGTAATCAAAATAATGAACAAGTAAATTATGAATATTGATGTTATGAATATATTTGAGTGATTCCCAAGCATATAGATCAAATGATTTCGTTGTAATTTCAACTATAGTGAATTTTTAGTTAGTCAAAATTATACAATCGTGTTTTTGAATAATCAAATTCAAGATAAAGCCATGAATTTACTTACATCAAAATTCCACTTTCGTTAGTGGTGTCATAGTCCTATACTATTCGATGAAAGGAGGTGCATTTTTTCACGGTGTCGCCTTAACATTAGGTGAACCAAATGCTCGTTTGCCCCTCTTCTATAAAAAAAAACTACCAATTGGGTGCCTATTATTTTAACTTCGATAGTTTTAATTGATTTATTACCTCTCTACAAGATTATATTACACTTATATATTTAATGTATTTGATTATTTCAGTAGCAGGTGGCAGCAGAGCCACAGCTGTTGCTTCACCAGCACCCCATGAACAACAGTTGCAAGAAGTAACTAGGCAGTCAGCAGCACGACAAATAAGTAAGTTTGATCTTTGTTATTCATATAATTCCTATTTACATACATTATATATTTCTGTGCTCTGCTGTTTTATCCACTATTTCAAGATAAACTGGTCTGTGTGCCAAATTTCATATGTCTTCTGCTGTTTTAGTAAGTAAAAAAATTAAAGTTATAGCCTATATACTAAATAATATATACAAAAAATGAAAATACTAAAAACCTTCCCGTTGTAGTAGAACTGGGATCCACTATTTTGAAACGCGATGTACTGAGGATGTCGAAATCATTTAATATTAAAAACAAGTATAAACTTCAAGCAAAACACCTCGGATTTACGACAAAAGAAGATACACCCGTTTTTGTTTCCGAACAACTAACTCCCAAAAGCGCTAGACTATTCTTTCTAGCCAGAGATCTCGCAAAATCAAAGACCTTTAAGTTTTGCTGGACGTCCTTTGGTCGAGTCTATGTGAGAAAGGACGAGAATTCTCCAGTTATTGTAATAAGAAACGAGTCACAAATACACCATCTTCTACTAGAAAGTTCACAGGCATGACTCAATGGTTTCATCCAATTCTTGTCATCTTCATTAATATTATTAGTGATAAGTTACATAGTATTATTTAATTATATTGTTCTAACTATAGGTACTAACATCTGTGTGGCAATTCTGTCTATTATAATTTATACTTCAATCACTGACAAAAAACCTCCTACGGTATCTTCACTCACACTCATATATAACACACTTTTGAATCATACAATACACTCACACACAGCTCATACTCATGCAATCATCACCCATTTACATGTTGATTCTTATTTACAAACATTAACTCTAAGGTTGTTCGTTCCTGTTTATTTCAGACCTTTCTCGAATAAATACCATTACAGCATTACACTAAAAACAAACCTTGTGGCTAAACCATCTATACAGTATCACTTATGTTCTCACACATCTATTGATACTAAATCAGCAAAGTACTTTATTTATTTTTATTGCAAACATGGTTATAGCTAACTCTTTAAGCACAATAACGGACTTGGATCAAGTTGATATAGCTTACCATATAAGTTGCGATATACAGGACCTAACAAAGTGCATTAGTATTGGTAAAACGGATCTTACCATATTATGTCAAAACATTAGAAGTATTTATCGTAACATTGAAAACCTCCAAGCTACCCTATCACTTCTCAAATTTGAAGTGAACGTCTTAGTTTTAACAGAATGCAGATTAGATAAATCAAAGCCAATTCCACAGATCCCTAATTATACTGCTTTAGAAACAACGTACAACATTAACCAGAATGATGGTGTAGTGATTTATGCTAAATCTCACTTAAATCCTGAATTTATGGAAATTAAACTCAAACATGCCTCTTGCATACAACTAAGAATTCTCGATCTGACGATATTGGGCATTTATCGTTCACCTTCGAACTCAAACGCATCTGAATTCATTGACTCCTTGAGTGCACACCTTGAAAACATAAAATCTTATCGTAACATAGTCATCTCTGGAGACATCAACATCAACCTCATTCAGTGCAGGAACGAACAAACTAATGACCGCAATAATAGAATAGACTATCTAAATACGCTAGCCAGTCACGGCCTACTTGCTGGTCACAAACTGCCCACGAGAGAATCCAGCTGCCTTGACCATTTCATGGTAAAATTAAACAAAATAAAATTTTCCGCAAATATCGCTGTTTTAAATACCACACTTACAGATCATCTGACTATATTCATGTGCATATCAAAACTTAAAAGCAAAACAATTAATCAAAAAATCATTGAGTATAGAACCTGGAGTCTTTGCTTCTTTGCGAAGATCCCGACTTAGTTACCAAGCGCCTTTTGCTATGGCTTGCGGAGTCATTGGAAGAGAGTAAAACAATAAAATATGTTACCAAAAACCAGCAGAATATTAAACCTTGGATCACAGATGGAATTCTTAGGTGTATCAGAAATAGAAATAAAATGCAACTGAAGCTTAGGTCCGATCCATCAAATGAAACTCTAAAAATTACTTTCAGAAGATATAGAAACTACGTTAATAATCTTATAAAAAAACTAAAACGAAAATATGACAAAGAACTATTAACTACTGCTGCCAAAAGTTCCAAAAAAACTCTGGAAAAGAATAAAAACGGTAACCTGTTTCAAAGTTTCTAAATTACATTGCAAAGAACTACTTAATATAGGACCAACACCGTCTGACTCTGTTAATTTGGTAAATTGTTATTTTGCTAATATTGGCAAACAATTAGCTAATGATGTCATGAAAGGTATATCTCATGTCTCACAAAGTAGCACTCCCATTAACACGCTAAAACGACATAACACATCTTTTGTCCTCTTGGAGACTGATCCTGGGGAAGTTAATAGTGTGATCATGAGTCTCAAAACAGATAGTGCCCCTGGTTGGGACAATATATCGATCAAATTCCTTAAGATCTGTAGCCCTATTGTTGCGCCCATAATAAGTCATCTTGCAAATCAAAGCTTTAGACTAGGTGTGTTCCCTGCACCCCTAAAAAAATCTATTGTTACTCCGGTTCATAAGGATGGGGATAGATGTAACATCAATAATTATCGACCTATTTCGGTCTTACCCGTGATTTTAAAAGTCATTGAGAAACTCCTTAATACTCGACTGCTTAATTATCTAGAAAAATTCAGCATTATCTCTAGCTCACAGTTTGGTTTTAGGCCTGGATTATCTACGGAGGACGCAGTATTGTCCCTCACGTCCCTTATTACAGATCAAGTCGACCGAGGAAATAAATGCATGGCTATTTTTCTAGACTTGAAAAAGGCTTTCGATACCGTCTCCCTTCCCACCCTTTTTCATAAACTAGAGTGCGTCGGTGTCCGAGGCGTACAGCTTAAATTGCTAAGTAGTTACCTACGAGAGCGCACCCAAAGAGTGAAAATTGGTACTCACGTGAGTAAAGACATGGACATAACCTTCGGTGTGCCCCAGGGGAGTGTACTTGCCCCAACTCTATTTCTAATCTATATAAACGACCTCACCAATCTCAACATTGAAGGTGGTAAAATTTACTCTTACGCCGACGATACTGCGATAGTTTTTTCTGGAACTTCGTGGAACAAGGTATACGAGACGGCCCAAAGTGGTCTTTGTAAAATTTCTGACTGGCTAAAAATGAACCTTCTAACTTTGAATATTAATAAAACAAATTATATGTGCTTCTCAATAAATAAAAGAAATCAACCAAAAAACGATTTTACATTAAAACTACATGAATGCGATAAACTAGATTACTCAAATTGCAATTGCAAAACGCTACAGAAGGTTACATCAACTAAATACTTAGGATTAATATTGGATCATCGACTATCCTGGCATCCACATATTGAATATATGACCGAAAGAGTGCGTAAACTTATTTGGATTTTCAAAACCCTGAGACATATTACATCACACAAATTAATAAAACAGATATACATTACTTTGGTACAATCTGTCTTAGGATATTGCATTTTTGTATGGGGTGGGGCTACTAAAAGAAAATTCTTGGAGGTTGAACGTGGTCAACGCTGCCTTCTTAAAGTCATGTATTTCAAACCACGCTGGTACCCCACTACAGCATTATATAAATTTTGCGACGTGCTAACCGTGAGACAGTTGTACATTTTAGTGACTGTTCTAAAAATTCGTAAAACTATACAATTTGACTTCATTGTAGATAATAGAAGAAGAAAAAAATATGTAACCAAACCTATTCGCACGAAAACAGTGTTTGCCATACGCCAATATACTGCAAATTCTGTGTACCTTTACAACAGCATTAACGGTTTGTTGGACATTCATACAATAACTCACCATGATTTCAAAAAATCTGTAACTACTTGGTTAAAAACACAAAATTACGAAGACCTTGAGGCACTTTTACACCATACCTCGTAAAATGTAAATCATTTAATCAACACACACATACCACACACATACATCGTTCACACAGACACACACACACACACACACACACCCACACAGACACACACACACACACACAAACACACACAAACACACACACACACACACACACACACACACACACACAGAACACACACACACACACACCATTAATCACCCATACCATTTGCGTTTTCATTTAAATACGTTCAAGTAATACATTATTAACCTTATTTAAATCACCGCTAACTTAGAACAATATAAATCGTGTAATTTATAACAATGTATTGAAATGCTTTCCTATTTATGACTGTTATAGATAAGGAAGAGCGGGGACTCCTGACACAGGTTTTCTTTTAAACTTACTAGGAGGACCCATCTACTATATTGTTTATGTATGTAATTTTAAGGAAATAAAGCATTATTATTATTATTATTATATACGTCCCACTGCTGGGCACAGGCCTCCCCTCATTTCTGAGAGGGTTTTAGGGCAAGGAAATGTCCGCCACGCTGCCCCAATGCGTGTTGGCGAACTTCACATGTCTTCGAAATATTTTTTTTCTTATTCCTCAGACATGCAGGTTTCCTCACGATGTTTTCCTTCACCGCTGAGTACGTGGTAAATCAGCACTTAAAATTGCAATTAACAATTTAATTGGTGCCGGTGGGGATCGAACCCGGGTTACTCGCGTTCTGTTATACTTACAGCCAGCGTTAACCATCTGAGCTACCACGGCTGTTTTAGTGTGATTAATAAATAAACAAAAACGTTTGCAAATATTCACATTTATACTATTATTAAGATTGTGATCATTTTATGTGTATTATTTCATTATTTCAGCAGTGAGAGGCAGCAGAGTAGCAGCTGTCGTTACATCACCACCCACTTTACGACAGGAGAGGCCCAGAAATATAAGGAGTAAGCTTGAAATTTAATTAAGTGCTAATAATATAAATATTAGTTCACAAGATCAGCTTGACCAGAATAAAGTCAAAAATTATTTCAATTACAATACAATAAATTTTGGGTATTTTTAGATCCGAATACTCGCCAAACTGCTGCCGAGC